CCGTTTATGGTCCCATCCCCACCGCCTTCCGCAATATCCTTGGAATTGTTGTTCTCCGCGCCTGGCTCCCATGCTGCCGCTGGTGGTCTTGCCGCTGTCCTTGCCTTTACCTTTTCCTCCGTCCTTGCCCTTGCCTTTTCCCCGTGTCTCCGTCTTTACCTTTGCCGTAGGCTCTGCCTCCTTTGGGCAGCCCATTGGGGCCGAAGCTTCCTATCTACATCGGCGCAGGCCCTGCTCGTGCCATGCTCTGCTCCGCGCGGCGCTCGATCTCCAGCCCAAGCGCCTCGCAAGGCTGCCAACGCCCAACGTTGAGGTCCAGGTGCTCGGACAATACGTCCGGGCACATCGCCTGGGGAGTCGCGCGCTTGATGGGGCCCCTCAGCTCCTCCATGGCGGAAACCAGGTTGTCGGCTGAGACCTGGGCTGGCCTCAAAATCTTGCGCAATAGGCGCGAAGAGGCGCTGGGGTTGCGGGGGTCAGACTTCCGGCTCAGCTTCCGCCACCCAGCTGTTCCCCGAGTTCTGCGCGCGTTCTTGATGAGGTCGAGGGCGGTAACCCCAGTAGTCGTATGTGAGACCAGTATGGCGTGTGTAAAGCACTATGAATCACCATCGTTTTGGGCAGCCCGTCCACGACGTCGCTGATCTTGACGTCGTCGATCGGCTCTGCGCCAGCGCCGGCTGCCCACTCCAGCAACCCCTCGGCATTCTCGCACTGGCTGGACAGCCAGGTCACGAACTGAAACGACCATCCGGCCCAATCACCTCCTTACCACTGAAGCTCAATGGCTTCTGCACGGCATTTGGATCGACCACGCCCTCGCGCCTGCGAGTCGCGGTCTCCTGGCGACGGCGGAAGTCCGCGTTAGCTTGCACTGCTGCCTGCAGCGTCGCGCTCTGCTCCTGAATCTGTCTGGCCAAGCCGGCCATCGCTTCATCCGAACGCTGCTGGACAGCCGTCATGGCAGCCTGTTGCTGCGCAGCGTATCCGACATCTGGGTGAAGGCTGCAAACACCTGCTGCTCGTCCATGCTGCCGAGCTGCACAAGGGCACGAGGCTCGAATCCGAAGCCTCGCCCTCTACGCCGTTCCGCGGCCGCCCGCAGGAATGGGGCGACCCGTGGGGACGACCCGCTCCGCTCTGTTTCGATCAACGCGTACCGAAATGGCTATGTAAAGCCATGCTCCCTGACATGCTACACATCCTGCTGTTCGCTATTGGGCTCAAGGGGAGGGGCAACATTCTTCACGCAGTGTCCATGCGTCCCCGCCGCACATTTTGGCACACCCCTCACACGGTTCGTGGCCTCATAGGGAGCTTCACCGAAGGTCCCCAATGGTACAATTTACATGCACCCCCGCCACCCATTACGGCACACTTCTCGCGCGGTTCGTGGCCCCCTAAGGAGCCCCACCGAAGGCCCCAGTGGCGCAATTTACATGCGTCCCCGCCGCCAATTTCGGCACACACACACACACACACCTCACACGGTTCGTGACCCCATGGACAGCCCCACCGAAGGCACCAGTGACGCAGTGTACATGCGTCCCCGCTCATGTCGGCACACACCTCACACGGTTCCTGGCCCCATACGGAATTTCACCGAAGGTCCCAGTGGCACAGATTACATGCGCCTCCGCCACACATGTCGACACACCCCTCACACGGCTCGTGGCCTCATAGGAAGCTCCACCTAAGGCCCCAATGGTACAGCTTACATGCGTCCTCGCCACCCATTACGGCACACTCCTCACGCGATTCGTGGCCCCCTAGGGAGCTCCACCGAATGCCCCCGTGGCACAGATTACATGCGCCCCCGCCTCCCATTTCGGCACACCCCTCACACGCGTCGTGCCCCCATAGGGAGCTCCACCGAAGGCCCCAATTGCACAATTTAGATGCGTACCCGCCACACATTACGGCACACTCCTCACACGGTTCGTGGCCCGATAGAGAGCTCAACCGAAGGCCCCAGAGGCTGCGGCGTCCCAAGCCCATTTCGGCACACCACTCACACGGTTCCTGGCCCCATAGGGAGCTTCACCAAAGGCCCCAACGGCTGCGTCAATTTGAGTCTAGCGCCCACTCTGGCACACCCCTCTCACGGTTCGTGGCCTCATAGGAAGCTCCACCGAAGGCCCCAGTGGCTGCGTCCACATTCGTCCGCGCCACCCATTTCGGCACACCCCGCACACGTTTCGTGGCCCCATAGGGAGCTCCACCGATCGTCCCAGTGGGGCCGCCCGCATGTGTCCGCGCCCATTTCGGCACAACCCTCACATGTTTCGGATGGAATGCAGAGTAGAGAAGAAGAACACGGACGACGTCGGAGGTCGAGGCGACCCCTGCGGGGCAGCCGGCGCGCGTCTCGCGGGGCTCCGCGTTACGCCCTGCCCAAAGCCGCGGTCACCGGGGCGCGAGAACACAGAGGGGGGAGCATCTGAGAGCCCACCATCCTTTACCCCCTTACCCTTAGGTCGGGCATGTCCTCCAACAGACAGAGTTCGGAAGAAAAAACAAATAGCCCAACATATTAGAACACACCTTACAAGTATCGAGAAAAAAATATCCCCTGACCATTTCTAAACTATTTTTGAATCTTCCTCCTGTAGAGGGACAGGCCCGACTGAACCTTACCCTTGCCTGCGCTGCCCAGCGCCTCGTTCTTCCTGCGGCACGCTGCCGCTGAGAGCTCCTCGGAGTCTGCGTCCGCACCTTCCTTCGTCTCATCTACCTCGCGGTACTCGCAGCTGCACACGGTTGGGTCCTTCGTCAGGTCAATCTTTGGACAGTCCAAGGGCCCAGAGGGCCCCGAGGGCCCCAAAATGGCGGAAGGCCTTGGGACCCGTTCCTCTTGGGAGCCAACTTGCTCCATGGCGCGCAGATGCGTTAACAGGGGCAGGAAAGACTATATGCCCATAGACTTTCGGAGCTCCGCGGAGCCTCTTGGATCGGCGGTGGGCCCCCCGAATGGCGAGCGGAGCGCGTCACGGGCGGCGCGGGGGGGCCGGTCAACGGGGGGCTAGCGCCGCTCCAAGAAGTGCGCGCGGACCTCCGCAGAACTCTCGTGCTCGTGTCGGTGTTTCCTTTCCGATGTGCGCTTCAGAGAGGAGGCCCTGATGTATGGGGCCCTGCAAGGCAGCTTTTAAGACATAGGATAAAAAAAGCATAGGGTTTGTAATACATGACTAATTTATGAATAAATGTGTGCATGAACTCGTCGTTGTTTTTACTACTGAATCCCTGCATTTTTACTACATGATCCGCACGCGGAGCATGTATTAAAAACGGCACTGTAAGGACGAGCGCCTCAAACAGGGTGAAGGTGGAGCTCGCGATCCACGTTCTGTCTAGAGTCTGGAGGCCTCGTCGATGGGCTCCGAGCAGGTGGGGTCGCAGGGCCGCGCCGCATCGCCAATGCATCGGCACCGTCGGCGATGCTGCGGGCACCCTCGACGTGAAGAACACCGGGCTCCACATCGAGCCGCATCGCCGATGCATCGGCGACTCGGCGCGATCTCCCGACCTCATCTACTCGGACCTCATTTGAGGGGGCAAGAAAGATACCTGCGACGACACTGCCCGGACCTCGCCCGGGGTGGGCTCGGACCAGAATCTCGACGCGAATCCAGCCGTGGCGACGAGGGTCTTCTGGGAGGCCCCCAAAAAGGCTACAACGAGGAAGGGAATCAGTAGCGACACGGTCCCAGATATTTGCGAGCAGATGCGCTGGGTGAACCTCCACGCCTTCGTCAGGCCAAGTGATTGCTCGTCCCCCTGACATGCGCACATACATAAGCATATACACACATGTATACAATCGTGCATGCATTCATACATCCATACGTGCATGCATACAAGCAATTACATGCACACAAAAAAGGCGGATCAGGCGGTGCCCCAGAAACGGGCCTAGATTGTGGACCAGCGGCCTCTCGTAGATGTACATGACGGTTTCTTAGAAAGTCTCTCAAAGACCCTCCTGTGGCCTCTTGGGGGTCTCCCAGAAGCTTCCTCAGGGCCTCCTGGAGCATCTTTGAAGCCTCCTGCGGGCCCCTCGGGGGCCTCTTGGGGCCCCTGGGGTGCGTCTTAGGGGCCTCTTGGAGCGTCTTGGGGGTTTCTTGGGGATCTCTTGGGGGGCGTGGGGGTCCTCTTGGGGATATCGAAATTTTCAATTGAAATTCCACATTTGAGCTCCTCCTGGGGCTCTTTGGGGCTCCGTTAGGGCTGTCTTGGGCGCCTCTTGGACCATCTCGGGACCCTATTGGGCCGTCTTGGGGCCCTCCCGGGGGCCTCCCGGGGGCCTTCTTGGGGTGATCTCCTGGACCTCTAAGTCTGCACGGACGGTACGAGGACCAAACAGTGAACATGCTAAAAATACACGGTTTGAAAATGGAATGGGGAGATTTTGATGGTCGGGGCCCTCTTGGGGGACCTCTTGGAGGTCAAGCGTCGTGGCCAGCGCATGCTCGCGACTGCCTTGGGACGTCGTGACGCCGGTCGGGCCGCTCTCTGGGGCGCTTTTGGGACCCTCGAAGGCGGGCCTGGCATTCAGGTCCCCCATTTGACGCCCGATCCCAGGTTATGTGTACATACCCATAAATCTAAAAGCGCAGATCAACTTCAACGGTCCGATGTGAGTCCACTCATGAGTTGAATTGTGCGTCCAATGCACATCCACAGACGGTTTCAATTGCCCCCACCCAGATATTGTTATCACCCCAAGGGTGGTCTTATCGGAAATAGTATGAGTGGTCCGAGAAATTCAGTGTGCCTGAGTATGAACAACTATGAATGTGAGTGAGACTGAATGTCGTCTGAGTGGCGTCTCAGAGTCAGTGGGGGGCATGGAGCGGTTGAGTCCGAGAAGGAATGAGGCGAGAACGAAGAGGGGAGGGAAGGGGAGACATCACCCGAACAACGAGAGAAAAACACCATAGATAATGGAAGACCTACCAACGCCACCCCGCTGCCGTCGCAATGCGGTATCATGCCACCATCGCCTTTTCACCGACACCATAACAATCAACCATCCTGGAAAGACAACAATGGTGTGAGACAAAACAAGTTCGCCCGACGCCGTGTAGCTGAAAACCGCGTCGTACACTATGACCCGAAGATCATTAGCAGAACAGGCGGCGGCATGACCGCCGGAGCCGAAAATGCTGAAGATGCTTGCGGTGGCTGGGTCCACCCTAGTGTCGCACAGCGCGCAATATCTGGATAGGACCTTGTTGACACCCAGGGACTCTTGGCAATGACAGCGAATTGCCAATAGATGTTTTGCGCGTAGCCGTGTGTAAATTATAAACCGAAAATCCGCCAGCCCTCCTCTGGGGCCTGCACACTGCGAGCAGTCACGCCACAGTGGCTTGAGCGCTGCCGTGGCAAACAGGAAGGTGGTTATTTCCCCCTTGTGGGTGACCCCCCAAACCCCAAAAAGGCATCCAAAGACTTGCCTCCTACGAAGTCAAGAAAAATACATATACCCGCCTTGCAATGGCCGCGATCCCTTGTAACTCACATGTTGTCCGCCTTTCGAAGGCGATGACCCCGAGTGAATGACAGAAACTCCACCCTCTCATGGACACAATCTTTTGTAGATCACGGCGCACCCGCGCTCCAAAGGCCATGATCCGTCGTTGGAAATACTGGATCCGTGTTCCCCAAATCACGATCCGTTGTAAATGTCCCTTGCTCTGCGCTTTCAAGGCTGCGACCACTAGCAAATTATGCGAACTAGAACCATGCGCACGCTTCGCGGGCTCAGGGTTTAGCGCGGCCCACGCAAGGCTCACATCATCGGATGGGGACGGACACCATTCCCCACTGGCTGAACACCGAAACGGATGCTCATCCTCTTGGGTCACTCAAGGACCTGACTCCCTCCACCCCTTTAAAGAATATTGTCGTTCCTGCCCCTCCTTCCACTGCCCCAGGCGACCGGCAAACAGACAGAACCAATGAAGGCCCCCCCCCCGATCCCTGTCAAAATTTGCCAGGCGAAAGACCGAACCATGCGCAAATGTAAATAACACAATTGTGGATATCGTTTTCGGTGGCGCTCCCTGTGGGGCCACGAACCGTGTGAGGGGTGTGCCGAAAATGGGTGGCGCGGACGCATGGGAACGTCGCCGCTAAGACCATAGGTGGAGCTCCCTATGGGGCCACGAACCTTCTGAAGGGGAGCGACGAAATGGGTGGCACGGAAGCATGGGAACGTCGCCATTGGAGCATTTTTGTTGAACTCCATATGGTGCCACTGAACCGTGTATAAGGTCTGCCAAAAATTATTGGCGCGGGGGCACAAACCGTGTGAGGGTTGTGCCGACATGGTTGGCGGGGACGCATGTAAACTGCGCCACTGTGACTTTACGTGGAGCTCCTTATGGGGCCACGAACCGTGTGAGAGGTGTGCCGAAATGCGCGGCGGGGGCGCATGTAAACCTCGCCACTGGGGCCTTCGGTGCAACTTCCTATGGGGCTACGAACCGTTAGAAGGAAACACCGGCATGGGTGGCGAAAACGCATTAAAATGTGCCTTGGGCCTTCGTTGGAACTCCCTATGGGGCCACCAACCGTGTGCGGGGTATGCCGAAAATGGGTGGCGCGGACGCATGGGAATGTCGTCGCTGGGGCCTTTTAAAGGAGGTCCCTATGGGGCCGCGAACCATGTGAGGGGTGTGCCGACATGCGTGGCGGGGAAGCATGTGATCAGCGCCACTGGGGACTTACGTGGAGCTCCCTATGGGGTCACAAATCGTGTGAAAGGGGGTACCGAAATGGACGGGGCGTGGGTGGCGCGGACTCATGGCAACGTCGCCACTGGGTCCCGCAGAGCCCCCCATGGGGCCACGAACCGTGTGAGGGGTGTGCCGAAAAGGGTTGCGCGGACGCATGGGAACGTCACCACTGGGGAACTAGGTAGAGATTCATATGGGACCACAAACCGTTTGAGGGGCGCGCCGAAATGTGTGGCGCGGACGCAAGGGAACGTCGCCACCGGGGCCTTCGGTGGAGCTCCCTATGGGGCCACGAACCGCGTCAGGGGTGTGCCAAAATGGGTGGCGCGGACGCATGGGAACGCGGCCACTGGGGCCTCAGGTGGAGTCCCCATACGGGGCCACAAAAAGTATGAAGGGCGTGCCAAAATGATGATGACGGCAACGGCGTCGATGATGATGATGATGATGATGATGATGATGATGATGATGATGATGATGTGATGATGATGATGATAATGATGATGATGATGATGATGATGATGATGATGATGATGATGACGCTAATGCTGATGATGATGATGAGGATGATGATGATGATGAAGAAAATGACGATGATGATGTTGGTAATGATGATGACGATGCTGACGATGATGATGATGATGATGATGATGATGATGGTGATGGTGATGGTGATGATGATGATGATGAGGATGACGATGATGATGATGATGATGACGACGGCAATGGCGGGATGAGGGAGGAGGGGGGCGGGGAGGAGAGGAGGTGGGACGCGGGTCGCTGTCTCTTCAAAGCGAGGACCCAACACCACAGGATGGCTGGGACATAACAGGGCGTCAGAGAGCTTGGCGTGCCCCTGGCGCAGCAGGCTCGCGCACGCCGCCGTCGGAACGCACGGCCGCCCAGAGGGAGGGGAGGACGAAGAGAATAAAAGCAGCTGGAACACGCAACAGACAGCAAGCACATAATAGACAAAGAGCAAATGCAAAGTAGAAAGAGAGTGTAGACTGCGCCACTAGGGCTTTCTGCGTAGCTCCCCATTGGGCCACGAACCGCGCGAGGGGCGTGCCATGACGGGCGGCGGAAACGCATGTGGACTGAACAACTGCGGCCTTCGGTAGAGCTCCCTGTGGGGCCGCGAAACGTGTGAGGAGCGTGCAGACATGCGTGGTGGGGGCGCAAAACAAAACTGCGCCACTGGTGCCTTCGGTGGAGATCCCGATGGGGCCACGAACCGTTCGAAGGGCGCGCAATTGTGGCCTTACGTGTAGCTCCCTATGGGGCCACGAACCGTGTGAGGGGTGTGCTGCTGGGGCACGAACCTATGGGGCCACGAACCTATGGGGCCACGAACCATTTGAGGGAAGTGCGCGGCGGTTGCGCATGTAAACCTCGCCGCTGGGGCCTTCGGTGGAACTTCCCATGGGGCTACGAACCGTTTGAGGGAAGCACCGACGTGGGTGGCGGGAGCGCAAGTAAACTGCACCACTGGGGCCTTACGTGGAGTTCTCGGTTGGGCCACGAACTGTGTGTGTGGGGTGCCGAAATTGGTGGCACGGACGCATGTCAACTGCACCACTGGGGCCCGGGGCCTCCGGTGGAAACGGCGTGTGGGGCCACGAAAGGGCGGTCATGAGTCGCTGCGGTGGCTGGCCCTCGGACGAATCGCCGCGCGTGCGCGCGCAGCTTGCAACGGGAACCTGGGCTCCCAAATACAGGGCAACATCCCCCCCCTAAGTTGCCCAGCGCCCTCGTTTCCTCGAGGAGTGCGGGCGCCGTTGCAGACTGCGCCACGGGCGCAGTGGAACTGGAAGCAGAAGCACCGCGGGGGCAGGTCCGGTCTGCGCGCCAGATCTGTCCTCCGAGGACAGCTCGGAGAGCGCCGCGCCCCGGCGCCGTCGCGGGAAGGCTGGGCTGACGGGCCCGGCGGGGCGGCGCGGATATCGGCGACAGGGAGCGACGGTGCTCCCTCCAATTCGAAGATGCCCAGTGAAACTGGACAGAGATGCGCAAATCGCAGAGCATTGAGTCGCCATTGTGCTGGGCGGCCCTCTAGAGGGGCAGCGAGTCGATCACGTGCCAGAAACTCCCTTTCTCCTGCCACCATCGCGTCGTCGACGCGAAGCCCACTGCGGAATTGAGGAAGACGCGCGTGCCCCAAATGGACAGCTGGAAACCCAGCTCCGTCCCCGCCGGCCTCGACCTGCTGGAAAGCTTCGCAGCCTCGGGGGCCACCCACCTGCGAGGGGCGGCCAACCACGTGAGACCGACGGAATTCCCGATGAACGTCGGCGAGTCCACGACGCGGTCGTTGGCGCCCGGCCCGAAACAGACTTGCGCGATTGGGCGCGCCGCGGGGTCTCCTTCCACGGCCGCGCCGCAGCCCCAGGTGGCCGGCTTAGTTCGGCGAAATGGTCGGACGCATCGTTTAGCTGGTTCAAAGGCGGCGTTTCAAAAGTCGGGTCGAACTCAGCGATGCGAGACGGAATCTCCCCCTCGTTCCAGTGACTCGGCTGCAGCGGGAGCGCCCACAACGGGCTCACCTACGACGGCGGCGTCTGCTGGGCACGGGGAACGTACTTCGCGCGCGGTAGCGTTGCCGCGCACTGTTTAGGCACGATATATATATATATATATATATATATATATATATATATATGTATACACATGAATATACATATGCATATACATATACATATACGTATACATATACATATGCATATACATATACATATACATATACATATACGTATACATATACATATACATACACATACACATGCACATACATATATACATACATACATACAAACATACATGCATGCATGCATGCATACATACATTCATACATACATACATACATGTACATATACATACATACATAAACAAATATATACATGTTATATTAGTTTGTAAATACATACATATAAACACATATGGCAAACCCCACCCCTGTGATTCATATGCGGTTGTTTTTGCGTCAGATCTTGTTCTCTGACTCTCGCCGTGCGCTTCCTGATGTGGGGCGCGGATTGCAACGGGAATCCCCCTGTGAGACGTCGCGCAAGGAATCCTCGCGCGGCGGATCTTGAAATCGAAATTAAGCAAAAGAACCCAAACATCAATCATACAATGTGCTGTGTTCGTTCTGGGGCCTGGGAAGTGCGCCTTCTGGATGCGCCGCAAAAGGGCTCCTCTCGCGGCACCACGTAAAGGCTTCCTCCTGCAACCCGCCACACTCAAAAGGAATCCTTCCGGAAGGCGCCGCAAAAGAAACCCTGCTGCGGCGACTCCTAGAAACATAATTTCAATGCTCCAGAGAGAGAGAGAAGAGGAGGAAAAAGGAAGAGCGAACAAAAAAAAACATAATATTGCGGAAGCAATTTATCTTCAAGGGTCACATGCCCCCGAACAAAAGACTAAGTGGCTTCACTGCATAGGGATATGGCGCCCAATGAATGGCATTGCTATTCGCGAGACACCACTGTTAAACTCCGGTGATCCCCGCGCAGGCACAGGGGCCACCTGGTCCAAAGCCTTGTGTTCTCTTACAGCTACAACTAAAATTGAATGAAAAAGCATATG